TTCCAGAGGTGGCCTCGTTGGGGAAGTGGGCGATCTCCAGCCAACCTGTCAGTCGGTCAGCATATGCTAGGTACGTGCGGCCCTGCAGGTGGAACAAATCGGCCACCACTTGTTGAAAGGGATAGTCTGGCGCCGGGGTCAGAACCAACGACTCCGGAGGCTGGGAAGGGGCGTGGGTCTCGCAGGCAGCACACCGGGACCGATGATACTGCAGGTCACCCTCCATGCCAGGCCAATAGACAGACTGCCGGGCCCGCCTGAGCATTGAGTCGAGGCCCTGGTGCCCCACATGCAGGTTAACGGCGACCCGGTGGCGGAGGGAGTCGGGGATGACAAGGCGCACGCAGCCCTGGTCAAAGGTGTAGGTGACCAAACCCCTGACCACAGCCAACCTGTCCCTCACCGAGAAGTACGGGCGCAGACAGGCCACCTCCTGTGACTTGTGGGGGTGCCAGTCGCCTGCCAGCACCCTCGACATTAGAATCTGGTACACTGGGTCGTCCGCAGCTGCTTTGCACACTGTGTCTTCGTCCATAGTGATGCACCCATCCTGATCCAGTGCTGCGATTGTGACTGCACACACTGCAGCGCACAGGTCCTCCTCTTGGTCCATGTCCTCCGCATCAGGCGCCGCCCTGAGGGAGGGGAAGCGGGATAGGGCGTCAGCTGCACAGTTCCGCTTCCCTGGCAAGTATTTGACCGTGAATCGGTACTGCAGGGTCTTCTCCTTGAGCCTGAACAGGCGCGGATTCGCCACATCCGTGAGGGCTCTGTCCCCTAGCAAGCCAACTAAGGGGCGGTGGTCCGTCACCAGAATGAGGTTCGGGCAGCCAAGGAGGAACAGTCTGGCCTTGCGCAGGCACCACACCATAGCCAGGGCCTCCCCTTCTACTGCAGCATAACCGGCCTCGGCCGTGCTCAGATGTCGGCTACCACACAGAGCCAACCGCCACCCTCCTCTGCAGCAGAAGGGCGTCTCTGGAGAGGCACAGGCACGGTATTGTTGCAGGACGACGAAGCCGATGCCCTGCCTGCTCCAATCAGTGACAGCTGCCGTAGGCCTGGATTTGTCGTAGTACACCAAGCCGTCTCTGGCCAACTGACAGATGGTGTCCTGGGCTTGGCGAAACTTGAGCCGCAGCTGGACGTCCCAATACACCTGCTTGCCCACTGGCTTCTTGAGGAGCTCACGGAAGGGCTCCATCACAGGTGCAGTGGCAAGGAAGGGAGCCAACTGGTTAACCAAGCCATGCCAGGACCTGATGTCAGTGATTGATGGCTGATCCGGCATGGGGAAGTCCTTGATGGCTGACAGACGTTGGGCAGTGGGCTGGTAGAGGTCCCACCCTAGGAGGAAACCCACAAACTCGGCTTCTCTCCTGCAGAACAAGAACTTTTCTGGTTTCAGCCTGATACCTGTGCGAGCGCAGGTCTCCAGAAAATCGTAAGTGTGCCAGAACGCCCCCTTCACACTGGAGTCATAGAGGAGAGTGTCATCCACGCACTTGTACTTGCGGGACACATCCTGAGTAGCGTCGTCAAACCTCTTGGTGTAGGCATCTGACGCTGAGCAATGTCCCATGGGCGTCCTGCAATATCGAAAAGGGCCCCACGGCGTGATGAATGTGGTCAGGAGTCTACTCTCCTCCTCCAACTCCACTTGATGAAATCCCCAAAAGGCGTCGGCGACGGTTTTGAACGAGTGCACTGGCACCCCAGACACCATGTCGAATGGTGCAGGTGTGTGGTGCGTCTCCCTCAGACAGCTTGCATTGAGGCGTTGGAAGTCCACAGTGCCCCTGGGCTGACCGTTTTTCTTGGCCACCACGACCATCCTGGCGCACCACTCCGTAGCCTCACAAAGCAGGCACTGGCTGGATGACGCCTCTCCTGACGTCCTCCTCCAACTGGTCCTTCACCTCCGCTTCCCAGTGTTTCGGAACGGGAGCGGGTGTGTGACAGGCGTAGGGGGTCGTGCCGGGCGTCAGGTGGATACGGTGAGGGGGACCAGTCATGACTGGCAGTGGGGACCTGCTGGTGTTGAATGCGGTAGACGAAAAGTGCGTGAGTAGCCATGCCTCCAGCCTGGCCACATTCTCCTCCAAAGCAGGCAAGGGTATCTCAACTGGCCTTGGCGGGAAACGGCTGCTCTCAGGTAAAGGGTTCGGAGGTAGATCGTCGGCAGTGTGCCGCTCCCCTCCATCGCTCACGGCAGCCACAGCACGTCTATGGAGCGGGAAGTCGACAGGCACCAAGTTGAGGCACTTGCAGTCCTCCAATGACAGATAGAGGGCCTTGGCTGTCTGCACGAAGTAGACCTCTTGGACGGTGGACCCCTCGTCCACACCGAGGCGGCAGGGGGCGGACCCCAGACACTTGAGCTGTTTGTTTGCCACGTCCCTTAGGCCATTACGGGCCCGAAGTTGCCCCGGACACAAACCGATGTCCCGGAGCAGGGATGCGCCTGCCACACACACCATAGCACCCGTGTCAGCTACAGCCAGCACAGGGGTGGCGGGGGAATTGCCCCCGGCCTGGGACACGAACACTTGTAACCTGGGGTGGCGGGATAGCTGGGCTGTTGCCACTGTAACAGCGCCTGACACATCCACAGGAGCACTTAGGGCTGACTTACTCCTACAACACCTTTTGAAGTGACCAACCTTACAGCAATTGCGACATGTAGCCCCACTTGCAGGGCAGTTACTTTTACCAGAGGCATGTGACATGCCGCAGTTACCACAGTGCGCGCGATTGGGGTGTCCAGGTCGGGCGGCAGCTACCTCGGACTCACCGGTGACGTCATCACCAACCGCCACTGCCTCCGCGGCTGTTCCCACCACTGCCTGGCCAGACGTACGACACAATACACCAGCATCTCTCACTGCTGCCTCAAATAACATGCATTTGTTTCTAAGCACTTCAACACTATTATAACTAGAGTACCCCTGGAAAATTTCCCTTTTCAACACTGGGTTACTCAGGCCCACCATAACTTTACGTAATAGCATGTACTCAGAGAGGTCGTTATCACAGGTGGGACATTTAAATTCACACTCCACTGCCTCTGCGAAGCATCCTTGAAAATACCTTTTCATGGGCTCCTCTTCACCTTGTTTGCTGTTGAAAAACTCGTTCCATTTCACAGCTTGGTTTGAAGATTGAAGAACCATTCCACTGATGGCGTCCAGGGCTTTTTTGGGCGAGAGCTGCTCCCACTGACCGCTGGGGTATCTCGAGTCAATCACCCTTTGGAGTGCAGGGATGCAGTTCAGGCGAATGTGGAGTGTGGCCACCAGTTGTGACCACCGGTTCAACAGCACCCATGACTCCATGGACCGCCTCCATGTCCTAAACGCAGCTGCTGGCATTTCTGCCTCACACTTCTCTGGTGCGACAGCTGCTGAGGGCTTCATGACCGGCATAGAAGCATGACCACCGCCAGCAACTAGAGACGCCATCTGAGCCATCAATGCACTCATGGCCTGCTGCTGGGCGCACGTGGTGTTCCCCGCCGGTGTAGAGAAGCCCTGGCGTCCCCTTGAGGGCGTCGAGAATCGTGGACGTGTAGGGGCCATGTCAGCGTTCTTGTCAGGGCTGTAATGGCGTGTCGGGCCCCGACATATCGTACTCACTGCGCCATGTGAGAGGTTGGAGTCATAGACCATGCTCTTTGTAGACTTTATTCTAACAGCGTCAGCTGGTGACTGGCAACCGGGCGCTGCCAAAGACAAGCCACCATCTCAACATGGGAAAACATATCGTACGATGGTACAATCTTACACTACCATTACTGGTAGTCACGGAGAATTAATTACTGGTGTGCGCATCAGTCTCACCGTCGTAGCCGTGAACGGTAGAGATATGGTCGTTGTAGTGCTTTTATTTACCCGTTACACATCTCTCACCATGCTTAATAATATTAACTATCTTCATGACATTCTTATTGTTATCAGTGATTGAGGAATTCATGATGTTATGCTCCACCTACACACAGCCTGTTACTAGACTAACCCCCACCTCCTCTATCCCCCCCCCTCCCCACACACTACAGTGGGCGACATCTGTTGGCCGACCATAGCATTTCCCCCAGCTGTTTCGAAACTTCAGACTCAAGGCTATTCAAAACCTCACTGTGGCTGGGTAGTGGACACGACTTTTGTGCACGATAGTACATGAAATATTAGTAATAATGACCAATAGAATTCATGTGACAGATGGAATGATGTAAAGACTGAGGGCTAACAGTACATTACAGTACAGTACATGCTAATGAATAGAGATGGTTTCTTAGCTTTATTCCTTTTGCCATTTGTCAGCTTACTAACGAGCCAGGTGGTTGATCAATTGTCTGGTAAAAACTGTTGGAAAAAACTAGGCATGTATGGGCTCTTCAGTGTAACCAGAACATGTGCCAGTGTTGGTCAAGTCTGGACATAAAGGAGCTCACACTCGGTGCTGTCACAACATTATCTGGCAGATTATTCCAAGAGTTCACAATCCTTACTCCAAACAAGTTTGTTCTGACAGTTTTCTGCACTAATAACTCCTTTAACCTGAGGCTCTGACCTTTAGTGGGGCAGCTATCCACTAACTCCAGATATACAAATGACTCAATGTGCTCATAAACTTATCGTATATTAAATTGCCCTTGTACTTATGCACTGTAGTATAAACTCAGCAATTATGAACAATTTAGTCTGTCTTGGTAACTGAAGTGTCTGTGTGCAAGCACTAATATGTATAAGTAATGAATGATAAAGGGATGAGGTGTATGAATGATTACAAAATCTATATGGTAGCATAATGACAGATGCACATCCATATTGTGTCTAAGAGTAACAATATTTCAGGAAAAAATGAAGGGGTATGATTTAATATGAGTATGGTATAAGAGTAATCTTATTTTAAAAGACAAATTATAGATTGAACACAAGTCAATGGAATGGTGCTTTATTGGTCTTACATCCATGTCACTTCTTTCTTCTGTGTACATGTAGCTGGACCTGGCAGCAGAGGTAGGAGAGAAGATTCAAGAGACATCAGAGCTACATGTGAGTTTTGACCGTCATGTGTACTTCACCAACTTCACTTCCCTGGGCCTCAAAATGCCTATCTACCTGAACCTCATTAGGGACCCTGTAGAAAAGATGGTCTCAAGGTGGGTGTGTTGGTGTTTGAGTTACAGATTTCAGAGGCTCGAGGTGTTTACTGAAAAAAGAGATTAATAGCTCTCTTTGTAGCCTTGTGTTCTTAGTTGACAGCTACTAAGGGTAAAGGTGGTGGAAATGGTTAGGACCAGAAGGACTTTATGGAATTGCACCAAATTTGTAGATGTTGTTTGGATTTTACTGACTAATAAAATAAAAATGGCAGCATTGTAGTATTTTTTCTTCTTTTTTTCTTTGTAACCTACCCTTCGATAATAAATTACTTGTTAGTGGGCAGGGCATGAAAGAAGAGGGAAATAACGGGGTATAAACACTGCAAACATGGTAAAGATTCATTTTAGGTCGCACATGGAGTTTCATATTTCTATTTATATAGGAAAAGAGATAAAAAAAAATATTATTAATTATTGATGACTGACCAGCCGCTGATTTTTCATAGAACACGATTTTAAAACCCACCACAATTTAATTGTGTTTTATAGTGGACACTCGTAGTTTGTGCAAATGTGTTAAAAAATAGTTATTTCTAAATTAAGCCTAACTTAATCTTAGTTGATAAGAAAAACAAGTGGCAGAAGCATTGTTAGAAGACCTTACCAACCAATCAAAGAAATCTACCTAACTCTGCTTAACTTCCTAGCCATGGGGCTCCGCCGCCCAAACCCCCAGCATATTAAACAGAAGGAACTTACTGTGATACGGTGTAATTTTACATTTTTGGTGGACATGAGAGCAGCCACCCAGACTGAATGGCTCATAAGCATACAATGAGCATAGGCGTCGATTGGGAAGCCAGCAGAGTGTGCGGAATGATTTGAAATACGTCAATATGATTGGCTCTTTATTATGATTTATATTAAATTGAATTAATAATTTTTTTCTAGAGATGTTGTTTGAATGATAGTAAGAAAATATAGACTGTATGACAATGCACAGGTTAGGAAGATTGATGAGCTTAGGTAAGGTTAGATCTGGTTCAGTATCATCCAAACAACATAATGTATCCTGAAAATTTGGTACATTTCCACTAAGTCCTTCTGATGCTAACCGCCTCCTCCACCTTTACCAAATTTTCCAATGTTCTCCTAGGTATTCATAGTATTTTTGTTTCCAATTTGGCATCATGGTTTAGCAAATGCTACATATGGTAGTACCTAATAAGGTGGGATGCTATATTAAACTGGTTCTGGTGTAGTGTAATGTCTGGAATGAAGGAATTGGTCATGAGGGTATATTCAGTTCAATCCCCTCCTGAATCTATAACATGTATATTAAACTTGCTTCCCATGTAAATCTACTGAATGAATGTTATTTTTAGCCATGCACTAATTTTGGTTATGGGTTTCTATGTATCGCCTGGAGATTTGACACCCCAATTTATTTTACCTGATTATTAAACACCCTAGCACTACCTGGGGGACTTTTTTTATATAATTTTCACAACTTATCAGCTTACTTGCCATTTGAGCACTCTATCCAGTGTTAATACATGAGGAAACCGGAGATTGGGAAACTGTGATGTTTGTTAGGGTGTTAGAAGAAGTTAGAAGTTAGGTTAATTTAGCATCATGGTACAGTATTTAATCATCGTGCAAAAAACAGTATGCTGGGGTTTCAAGTTTCAGTTGATCTCTTTACACATTTTTTTCACTTTGCAAAAGAATACAGTACATTGTTTTAAATTGTCTGTATATATTGTCCATACTATAAAGATACAGTGCAAGTATGTACTGTATATACCAGGGGCGGATCCATGGGTCCTGGGGGTCCACACTCCCCCCCCCCCTTCATCAGAAAATTGCAATACTACTTTAAAGAAAAATTATTGCAATTTTCTGATGAAGGGGTGGGGGGTCTGGTCCCCCAGGACCCATGGATCCGCCCCTGGTATATACAGTACATACTTGCACAGTACATACTTGCACTGTATATTTATAATATGCACAGTACAGTATATACAGACAATTTAAAACAATGCACTGTATTCTTTTGTATAGTAAAAAAGTCATTACTATTGACCTTAAAATATCTCCTTATGTCAAGTGCACATGGCTTCAAAATGGCCTCAAAAGGCCCATGATATTGATCAGACTTAAAAAAAAAAAAAGTCTGGATGGGCTCGCTTTGCTTGCCATGTTCCCCACCCACAACTTCTTGACACCCCCCCATTGATATTCCTGGATCCGCCCCTGTATACTGCACTGTAAAGTAATGTACTGATATACTGTGCAGTAATATCTACAGTTTTGATTATCTTTCAGTTAAATGAAAAGTCAAGGAACACAATACAGTATCAAGGATAATGAAACAGCAAACATAAGTACTGTACATGTACCAGTAGTAGATAGGTAAATAAGCCTGCCATAGAAATAATTTTATTGTCAACTACAGTACAGTATTTAACTGTGTATTGTACAGTCCCCTCAAAAGTATCATTAGCTGTGGGGTCGATGTGAGTCGAGGCTTTCCGAGTAATGTTACTCGACCTGTTTCTGAATGGTTGGTAATTCTATATCGGCGACCATTGAGCATGAATGAATACTGTATATACGTTTTCCAGTGATGTGAATCCCCCGAGGCTTCAGATCATATTATTACATGACTCGGAGTGGGTGTCATAAATGGATACCAATGACATGCCAAGTATCAACGGGATCGAATAGGCTAGAAATTATCGGGGATGAGCGAACTCACATTATCACACTGGGCCAGGCTCCATGAAACAACTGGTGCCACACTGAAACTTACAACCACAAATATTTTACTAGAGGTGGACGGTGGTTCATTTGTCTCTAACTCTGTTGATTTGAAACCATATTTTGGTGTTATACCAATGCAATTTGCATATCAGTAACCTGGCAGATCCTATGTAGACTGATATGTTTTATCCTCTTCGCCACTGTCGGCTCGTTAGCCGCTTGGGCGATCGGTCACGTCTCTGATTACTTTTCCTTTTCATTTATCTTCTTCACCAAAAGATCGGCTCGCTAGCCGCCCGGGCGATCGGTCACGTCTCTGTCACGCACTGTTGGCAAGTACTGGGCATGCACCGGCTTCTGAATGTACCTGAACCCGCCTGAACCCGCTCCAGTGTTGGTCAAATCTTGTCTTGAAAGAGCTCACACTCGGTGCCGTCACAACACTCTCTGGTAGATTGTTCCAAGACTTTACAACCCTCACTCCGAAAAATTTTGCCCTCACAGTTTTCAGGACTTGCGGCTTCTCCAATCTTGAGCTGTGACCCCTTGCTGGGCGAGCGTCCGCCAGCTCCAAGTAAGGACACTCGACTGAGTAGTGCTCCCTGAGATGCTTATACACCTCAACTAGGTCCCCCCTTGCCCGTCTGTAGTATAAGCTAGGCAAGTTCAGGCGCTCCAATCGCTCAGGGTAGCTGAGGTGCCGAAGTTGAGGCACCCGTCTGGTGGCCCTCCTTTGAACATTTTCCACCAACTGACAGTCCCTAGCATATCTTGGGGACCAGACAGGGTGACAGTACTTCAGATGGGGAAGCACTTCACTCTTGAAGATCGTTACGAGGGACGGACCATCTAGATATCTGAACGACCGTCTTATAAGACCCAATAATTTATTTGCCTGGTTTACCTTCTTTTCGCAATGGCCCGAGAACTTCAGCTCATTGTCAACATACATACCTAGGTCCTTCTCACATTCAGTCTCAACTAGTACAGTTTCTTCATCCCGTTGGGACATATGATACGCCTCCTTACCGTTGGTACGCCCCAGGTGCATCCTCTTACACTTCGTGACATTGAATCTCAGCAGCCATTTCTTCGACCATTCCTGGAGCCCACAGAGTTCCTTCTGCAGCTCTTCACAGTTTGATTTTCAGCCTTTCATGGGGTACACTGTAGAAAGCCTTGGCAAAATCTTGGTAAATATTGTCGATATTACCACCCCGTTCCAGATTATGGGTCCAAATATCCAATACCTTGAGCAGTTGTGTTAATCAGGAGTGCCCCGGCATAAAACCTTGTTGGCAATCCTTTACAAGGTTGTTTGGTAGTAGATGTTCCATTGCGGCATCTCTGATAATACTCTCAAGTACTTTACATATTATGCTGGTCAGGCTCAACGGTCTATAGTTGTTCGTGGAGTAACGATCGCCCTTCTTGAAGATAGGACTCACATAAGCCACTTTCCATTCACTGGGGACCATTTGTTCATCCAGGCATTTACAAAACAGAATCTTCAGGGGCTCGGCTAGCTCGTTGCACAACTCTCTTAGCATTCTTGGATGTACCATGTCATGGCCGGGACTCTTATGGATCTTTAGCCTGGACAGTTTATTTCTAATACCCTCTTCTGTGAACACAATGTGGGTCAGTGCTGTGTCAAACCGTCTGTCCTTAAACACAGGAAGTTTAGTTGCATCCTCTCTTGTGAACACCGAGGAAAAGAAGCTGTTCAATGCCTCAGCTTTATCCTGGTCAAAATCTGCGTAACTACCATCCACCAGCCTCAGGTCTGATACTCCTACTCGCGTTTTCAATTTCGACTTTGCATAGCGGTAAAACGCCTTTGGGTTTGACTTGCCCTCGCTTGCAACCAGCCTCTGGAACTCCTTTTTAGCCCTCCTACACTCTATTTTTGCTTGGTTTATGGCTCTTCCATGCATTCTCCTGCCTTGCTCATCGTTTGACCCAACCCACGTCTTGAATTTCTGGGTTTTCTTTTTAATTTTGTCGACCGCCGCATGGTTTATGTGTAGGGATCCCCTCGTATTCCTAGAAGCACTGGGTTTGGTTTTGGGTATATATTTATCGATCAAATGGGTCACTTTACTAGTTATAATATTCAGCGTAGTGTCTGCGTTCTTGTACCTTAATGAGACAGGCCAGTTGATACCCCTCATCTCTTTCCTCATCCTATTGTAATTTCCCTTGTAATATTTACACCTTGGCCTGGCCTTATCCTGAACTAGGTAACAGTTAAATCTGAATGACAACACTATATGGTGACTGGTGCCAAC